TGACTTAGCCTTTACAAATTTCAATCAAGATTTCAAAACTCAATAGAAAACGTGTCTAGAACATAGGGAGGTATGTCTCAGAGTAATTTTTCCTAGCAAGGAGAATATTTTGGTGTTATATATAAACTGTGATGTCTAACTAATATTTTCTATTTATATTATGATTCTCTAGCAATACTGGGCAAAGTGTTTCACTGGTCTCATCTAAAAATAAGAACAATGTTTTCTAAAAAGGATATCAACCTGAGGCATCTAAAAATAAATCAAAAAAGTTATTTCACTAATAATGAAAATCTTAACTGACCTTTCATAAAATATATGTATGAATGCCAACATTATATACAAAGTAAAAACAACCTGTACAGGAGTTTTCTAGATGTTCTCTTTTATATAATCTCAGAATCAGAACTTTAAAGTAGGAAGTTTACTTTGTAGCGAAAGCTGTTCTAAGCATAAGATTTGAACAGAATAAATTGTAAAATTCAAAAAGATAAAAATACAGGGATTTATCTACTGTGATTTTTGAAACCAAAACATCCCAAAAGCATATTGCTTTTGCCAACAGATGATTTAAGCCATGTTGCTCAGGAATTTTATCTTTGGTCATAGAGATGTTAATGACATAGGCAATGTCACTCATGTTTCCGTACAGCTGTGAAGGGCTTTAGAAGCATTATTAATGCTATTATATATGATAAATTATAAAAGCAGTGATGACTGTTATAATTTCTATCTCTTTTGTCCTATAAAACAATACATAAAGCATGAGAGTTATCTACTGTGTAGTAGAATCATATGATGTCAAAAAAAAAAATCAATGACTAACACAGCATTCTGTTGGAGATGGAAACTGCTGACTCTGGTGGTGGGAATGGTTTTGTCCTGGGCCCAGAATGCTAGGAAGAGCTCTGCTGCAGCACTGCAATCCAACTCTTGTTGGTGGGAATGTAATTCATTATAGTAATTATGTAGAAATCATAAAAGGTCCTCAGGGAACTGAACTACCAAGTGATCCATCAACTCTACTACCAAATGTGTCTTAAAATAAGAGAAATTAGCAGATGTGGTAGTCAATTGTGGTCAACTTGAATGGATTAAGAAACACCCAGCAAGTGTTTAACCACGTGGAGTACAGTTCTTGGTATGTCTCAATGGTTGAGCCACAACCTGAAGAGGGAAGACCTACCTTGGATGTGTGTGATACCAACCAAAAAGCATATAGCCTAGACGGGATAAAAAAGCAGAGAAGAAAGAAGTCTTCCCTTTTCACTTCTTTGGGAAGCTCTTGTCTTCACCATCACCTTTGAACACTGTCCTCCAGTTCTTTCAGGCTTCTAGTGCAGACGTTTTAGACTCCCAGTGCAGATCTCTGGCTTTCCCAAGGACTCACACTGAGCTCTGCGGTGAGCTCCGTCTTCGGCTTTGCCTGGACCTCTGTCTGTCCACCACTCAGATGGCTCACTTGCGTGCCTTCACTTCTGACTCCTCAAGCAGCCATTGTAAGCCTATTTTGTAAATCTGTTACATATCATTTTTACTTAATTACTGAGACAAAATATCCAACAGCCAAAGTAGAAGGAAGAAAAGTGTATTCAGTTCACAGTTTATAGAGGTTTCAGTTCATACTTGGCTGGCTCCAAGGCAAGGTAGCATGGCAGAGGGGCCTCACAGAGGAGAAACAGCTCACAACAGATTGAAGGCAGCAGAGCATCAAAATGACAAAGAAGCAGCAATCAACAAGCAGTGGTCACCTTCCTGTCCCCTGTATTTTATCCAAGCTGCCACTCTTAAGGCAGATAGCACTCACACCCAGGGAGGGGCAAACTTAACTCTAGCACTGCACCGTGAATCAAATCTGGCATCACATCCTTGATCCCAGTGTCACACACCCTAGGTCAAGCCACCTCCGAAAAGCCTGCCTGTGACCATGTGAGGCTTTGAGGGACACTTAGACATGAGCCGTAACAGGTCCACGGAATAATAACTATTGCTGTTCTTTTATTATTTGATTGTGAAAATTTGTTTTATTTTTCTTGAAATAAAAAGGTAAAATACAATGAAGAATCAACTAAGGTTCTAATATATGCATATATATATTTATATATAGACATATCAACTGGTGATATTTATATGTATATAAGCAGGAAGGTGATTTGAAAAACTCAGGGTGTGAAAAGATGGGTTTGGAGCTAAGGAGAAATAGTTTTATAATCTCCATAGGTACAGTTTCCATGGATATAGTATTTTTTTTTGAAAAATTTGCAAGAAGAATATATTTATGGTATTTTGATACATGTATATATTGCAGAATGCTAAATTAAGCTATTTTCATATATTTTACTGCACATACTTTTTTGTTGATTCAAATACTTAGCCTTTCAGCAATTAAACATACAATCTATTGTTATTAACAAGTCACCATGATGTACAGTAGATCCCTTGAATTTATTGTTCCTAACTGAAATTTTGTGTCCTTTAGCTAACTTCTTCCCAATTCCCTAGCTACTCCCTAGCTCTCTGACAACCAACATTCTACTTCCTGTTTTTATGAATTCAACTTCTTGAGATTCCATGTATAAGTGAGATCACGTGGTATTAGTCTTTCTGTACCTGGTTTATTTCACTAAACATAGTATCCTCCAGGTTCATCCATATTTATTGCCACAAATGACAGGAATTTTTTTCCATTTTTATTATTTATTAATTTATGTTTGAGACAGGGTCTCACGATGTAGTCCAAGTTGGCCTTGAACTCCTAGCCATCCTCCTGCCTCAGCTTCCTGAGTGCTGGGATTACAGGCATGTGTCACCAACCCCGTCTTTTTCCTATTTTTAATATATATGTATATGTATTTATTAATAATAAATACAGGGAGTGGGGGATACAATCAAGTATTTATCTTGCTATTCTTATAAGAATTAGACTTAAGGAGAACTAAACAGAAATGAAGAAAGTATTTTCAGTTATGGACAAACAAAAATCACAAAACACCCATCTACACACAAAAACTTATAGGTTTTTGAGATTTTATTTCCAAAATGATTTCAAGGACAGTGGTGGGAGGCATACAACACATGGATCATAGGCATCTTATCGCTGCTCATGATACAGAAAGCAACATAAGCACCATGTAGTTTCCCTGCCCCAAGTCTGACAAGGGTGATGCGGAGAGTGCTGAAAGGGCCCAGCAGAAGCAATGTGTTTGGGTCACAACAGGAAATGCTGAGCTCACAGCACAGTGAGCATGGCAAACAGAAATACGTGGATGTGATTAAACCAAAGACCTTGAGACGGTAAGACTAAGGATAATCGAGGAATGCAGTGCATGTGGCCTCCAGAAGTTGGGAAAGCAAGGAAGGGGCTCCCCTGGGCACTCCAGATGGAAAGCCAACACCTTGATGTTAGCCCGTCTGGAGTCCACTTCAGATTTCTAGTCTCTATAGCCGTAAGATAAAATCTGTGTTATTTTCAGCTAGTAAATATTTAGTAATTGTTACATATATAATAAAGTCTAAAGCAGGGGAAAAGGAATTTTTAAAACCTGCAGGGACTCATTATGTCTCCTTTTTGATCTGGACAGGCCACTATAGGGGAACTCGGCAGAGGGTGTGCTCCACCAGAGGACCACTGTCTTCAGGATATCAGAACCTATTATGACGACTCAAAAGGTCTTAAACACACACCAGCCAGAAAAAAAATCAGAAAATTCAAGCTAGTGAGAACCGAAGACAAAACAAAATTATAAAGGTAGTGATAAAAAGACAATTTACCTTCAAAGGAAGATTTAGCCAACAGTGAACTTCACAACAAATGATATGGGGCAGCCTGAAAATATGGGTATTTTTAAATGCTAGAAGAAAATAACTGCCAAACTAGAATTTACTATCTAGAAAGCATACCTTTCAAGAATGACAATAAGCAAGGCATAGTGGTACGCACTGGTAATTCCACTACTCTGGGAGGCAGAAGCAGGATGATCACAAGTTTAAGCCCTGTCTACAAAGTTTAGCAACTTGGTGAGACCCTGTCTCAAAATAAAAACTAATTGTAATGAAAAGGGCCATGGTGGTAGCTCAGCTTAATCTCTAGTACTGGGGGAAAAAAGAATGGCTGAAAAAGACATTTCTTAGCAAATAAAACCTAAGAAAAACTGTCACCTGCTATCCACACTAGAGAAATATTAATGAGTATCATTAATGAAACAGGAGAAATAATCCCAGAAGGAACATTGAACATATGGGAAAAAAAGAATAACAAAAATGGTAGATGTATGCTTAAGTATAAATAAATATTAACTTCATCAAACCGTAATGCCTTAAAGAGTTAACATCTATGAGTATAAAATACAAGATAAGAATGTCATTGAAAGGAGAACAAAAGAATTATAAGAACCTGGCAGTATGCAGGAAAGAGTTAAAGTAACAACATATTGACAATGAATTCTGTAATGTCTTAATATTAAAATAATATCAAAAGAGGTTTAGAAAAATAATAATAACAGTAAATTTTCAGGGCCTCCAGAGTAGGAACTAATTACATCATAGCCATTTTTTGATCCATCATACAAAGCTCCTAGCAAACCCACTTTGTTCATTGAGTACTGAGCACTGCACCCTACATTGCCTCTGAAGACATTCAGGGAATGTGAAATTAAGGTAGAGGCCAGGCATGAGGACTATGTCTAGAATCCTGACACTCCAAGGACACAGCTCTGAGCCAGCCTGGGATGTAGCTCGGTGCGAAGGTCCTTTTTTCAATTTCCAGTGCCACAAACGAGCAAAACACTGGGCAGAGGGAAAAAGAGGAAGAGAGGAAGGGAGGAAAAGAAGAAAGGAGGGAGAGTATTTACTCTTAAAGCTTACCCATCTCTCAGCTTTTCCTGGTTATTACTACATAGCCAAGTTCCACCAGCAGAGGGCAGTAGTTGACCATTCTTCTATTTATTTACTTTTGTTACTTTCAGAAATGAACTTAAAATGGACAGAACTGTAGCTTTTTGTATTGCTATAATTTGTTTTTATGAATATAAAGGTAAATCCAGGAGTGCCATGTTAAAAACAAAACAAAAAAAAAATGAAACTAACACTTGAACTTACAAGTGAAAATGAGATGGCGAGACAGGAATCAGTGCTCCCCAGGGGATTCTTGCTGGTTTTTCTTCCACAGGTGCCCCAAATGCCTTGTAGTTGACACAGCTATGTCGGGTACCTCGCTATCACTCCAGGAAATATTTATGTTGGCTGCAGCAAATTTTGGAAGAAGACTTACCCCGGATGACTGCCCTGCTACCTCTCTGGATGACTCCTCCACTCTGGAGCCGTAATCAGTGAGATCCATAGGAGCACCTTCCCTCCCGGTGACAGAACAGTAAGTCAGACATTGTGCATGAGAAAGCCTAGCTTTTTCCCTGTGTAAGGAGCCTCCCCATACTCTTAGGTCAGTCTGTACATTGTTCCCCCTTATTTTGCAGTGTATGGTCTAAGAAAGTCTATTTTGGAAGGTGTATTTTTGCCGAGGCATGATTTTCAGCTCAAGCAGAGCATGCTAAGTTCATACACTAAGAGCTTCTCTGATCAAAGGTCACCAGTGCCAAATCAGTCAGCTGCCAGAGCTGGTGAAACCAGAGGTCCTCGAGGTCAAAAACAGTCAGTGCAGGTTCTGGTGACACTGACAGTGACTAGGAGCAACAGCTCTACAGCGGGCAGAAGAGTTCCTGAGGCCTTTTGCTGGCTGCTGGGTACAAGCGATGAGGACAGCCAGTAACCATAAAAGCTGACAGCGCCACCATTCAAAGCTCAGGAGAAGCGACACTTTGCCAATTTATGATTTCCATATGAACTGAGCAGGAACCGGAGATGCTAACTGGGAACACCTTAGAAGCCTAGTGGAAACCTTTCTCCCTCCTGGGCCCTCAAGAAAAAAGCAGACGATGGAGACGTGATCCATATCTGATTTCCATTTCACATGCAGCTAAAGACTCAACCTAGTCATGGCAAAAGCAATCTCTTCAAAAACAGCAGGCAGAAATGAGCTACATTAGGGACAAGCTTACTATTTTGTTTCTATTCTCAATTATGACGACTATTAAATATTTTTCTTGAAAAAATTAAGTCAACACCAGCAGCCTTAGAACATGTTGGTACATTTTATGTACCCAAATACATTTAATGGATCAGTCCTACAGGTGTTACTCTCCACTTCAGAAAACAATATTCAGAAAGTATATAGCAAACTGTGTGAAAGATGGGACACCAGGAATTATGTTCCAGTCTTGAAATTCACACTCAAGTTGTCCCTGATTTTCCTCTTCACCCCTATAATAAAGACTTCCTTACTTGAAGGATTCTAAATTATAAGGCTACATCAGAGATCTCTGCACTACCATCAGAGAAACCATACTCTGAAATTAAGTAAAGAGTTCACAGCTTGATGGTGATTGAAACTCGGTCTCCGTACTTTTAAGTCCCTCCTGTATTTGTTTGTTTGTTTGCTTGTTTTTGAGATGGGATCTAGCTATACAGATCTGCCTCATTTTGAACTCATTTTATAGACAGGCTTTGATCTTCCTGCCTCAGCCTCCCAAGTGCTTAGATTATAGGCCTGTAACCACTATGCCCAGCTTTCTCCTTTTTTCTATAAAATACAAATAATTTAATTTATAACTTTAGAGTATCTGACTGTTGTGTTGCATAATTGCTAAAAGTGTGATATTTGAGGTAAAAACACCACAAACTCCAGGATCCCTATATGGGAGTCTGTGAACTGAAGCAAGTGATGTACCTACTCTGAACCTCAGTTTCCTTATCTATAAAGTGGCAACAATATTACCAACTACAAATAGCTGTTGTGAAGATTAATCTGAACATTTAATAGCATTTGGTTTTTATTAGCTATATTGAAGGAAACAGTCCTTAATTGTACAATCAATTGGCTGGAGGATCCTGGGAAGGCAGCTCAGAAGATCAGGTGTTTATGTGATAAGAAAGACAGCAGAAAAATGTAATACATGGCAGATATGGCAGAGTGGAAAGTTGGATGCTCATAGAAAGCAAAGATGGTATTGATCTGATTATAGGTATTGATCTGCCTTTTTCCTTATTACAAATATACTTTTGGGTTTTTAGAGGATCAGAAAATATTTATTTAAAATTTTCACTTGGATGGAAAAGATATATACTTAGTGAATAATTTAGGAGTTCTAGAACCCCTTCAAAAATTCTAGAGGATCACTTTATACCTCATTCAGTGACAAATAATTGTCTTCTGGGTTTTTAAAGACCGTTCTGGACAGCAAGCAGGTTAACAGAGACAAAAAGCAAGTAAGAGAAACAAATTAACAGTGAATGCCATGGCTCTTGTCTCGATGTCTCCCCACAGCCTCATACAGTCATTTTGCTTTTTCAGAGAAGCTGAAACTAGAGAATGAGATGCTGGGGTTAAGGGTGCGTGACTGCAGATCAGTTCCGACCGGATTGGCACCAGCCTAACACCCTACTCTCTGTTATTTTACTGTCTTCCACCACCATGAACAGTTGCCCCTCTGTCATGTGAAACCCTGCCTTGGAGCCAGGATGGAAACCTCTACAAACTGTGAGCTAAATAAACCTTCCTCCTTTAACTTTGGGTGCTGGATATTTTGTCTCAGCAAGGACAAAAGTAAGACAATGAGTCAGATTCAACAAACTTATATTAAGCACAGAATACCTGCCAGGTTCCATGCTGAGGTGATGAACACATGGACATAGTTGCTGCCCTCATAGAGATGTATGTCTCTCTATATAGAGAGATAGGCAGAGCATCCCTGGTCTGTGGATATGCTACAGCAGAATTTCCTATAACAAAAATCAAATTTTTAGAATCTAAACACATATGCCACCACTGACCTAATGAATCAGCTATTCTGGAAGGTAAGGAATACAGGAGACTATATTTTTAAACTCCAAGAAACACCTATAGTGCTTCAGCCTCTAGGAATACAGGATATATATTATCAATGCACTGAAAGGCCTGGAAACCATTGTGCTGACTCTCTCCTCCTCTCTCTCTCCCTCTCCCTCTCCCTCTTCTTCTTTCTGTCCCAAACAAGGTATCACCATGTAGTTCAGCCTGGCCTTGAACTCACTGTGTAACCCAGGCCGGCCTCAAACTTGCAGCAATCCTTCTGTTTCAGCTTTCCAAGTGCCAGAATTATAGGTATACACCATTATGCCCAGCCCTATCTAGGGTGTGTGTGTGTGCATGTGTGTGTGTGTGTGTGTGTGTGTGTGTGTGTGTGTGTGTGTTTTGTTTGTACCAGGCATCAAAACCAGGGCCTTGGGCTTACCACGCAGGTGCTGTACCACTGAACTACATCTCTGGCTCTGTCATTGTCTGGTATCGCTTTCTATTAAATAATATAATTATGAAAGTACACTATAAGGATGACATGGAATTGAGTGAATATTATTCTTAGGAGCTTTTTTTTTTTTCTGATACAGGGTCTTGCTCTGTAGCCCAGGCTTGCCCCAAACTCACAGCGACCCTCCTGCCTAGCTTCCCAAGTGTTGGGCTTACAGGCACGCACTACTACATCTGGCAGGACATTTCAATAGACAGCGAAATCCCAGTTTACACAAGAATAGTCATATGCCACATAATGGCTTCTAGGTCAATGACAGATGGTATATGCAACAAGGTTCACAAATTACACCACCTACTGATGTAGCCATCTTAGTTGGTGTAAGCATCCTCCATGATGTACGGTGTTATCACTTTAATGGCATTTTTCAGGCTGTATTCCCACTGACTGTCAAGCATCAATGATTATAACTGAAGTCAGTGTACAACAAGGAGGCACTTCACAGAATTTAACATGTCTCTGATCATCTTCATTGTTCTTTTAGTAGCAGAAGCTTCTGGACTATAAGGAATCCAGCTAGGACAGTGGCATTACTCATCTGATGGCCCTAAGACCTCTGGCTGGAGGAGCAGAGCTGTGCTGCCTGAACAGTGACCATACTTGGGCAGTTTCCTCCCAGAATATCCTTTGAGGACATTCACTCTGTCAGTGCTGGCAGAGCATTTGGTATCAAGACAAAAACATTTATTAAGAAGAACCTGTGAGAACATAGTAATATAGTTCTAACCTCTTGAGTATGTAGCTTTCTCAATAGAACATGAGATCCAAAGTCAAGATATAGGGTTCAGCATGAGGAAGAAACTGGTTAGGCAGCAGGGGACAGGCAGGTGGCTGGGCAGGTCACTAAAATTCCATTTAGTTGGGACAAATGACAGGACAGATTCCTCTGAATTATCCAGATGGTAATGCTACAATGGGCTGGGAACACAGTGTGGTGATCACAAAGTTACATAAGACCAATGATGGAGACATAATGGGCTTTACCCGAAAATGAGTCAGGAAATTGTCATAGTATTATTATGGTGTGTAGCTGAAATGTCCCCCCAAAACTGGTGCTAAAGGCTTGTTTGCCAGCTGATGGGCTTTTGGAGAAGGGATGAGATAATGAGGGCATCTCTAGCTTCATCAGCAGAGTAACCTACCAATGGGATCACAGTGTGATAACACCATTATCTGGGGGCCAATGGGAGTAGATCATGGGGGTGCTGGGGCCTATATTTGTTTCCCCACCCTTTCCTCTCCTTTCTGCTTCCCAGCAGTTGTGAGGTGGGCAACTTTGGTCCACAGTGCCCTTTCACCATGTTCTTCTGCCTCACCTTGGGGTCCACAGCAATGCAAACAGCCCACCATGGCCTGAAATTGTGATGCAAAATAAAATATTTCCTCTCAGTTATTTGGTCTCAGTGATGAAAAGATTAACAGAGTAAGAAATACATGAAGAAAAATACAACAGTGCAACATGTAAACACAAGAGGAGAAAAAGTATAGTGAAAAATGAGATCAAGGAGAGAAGTGAGTCACAGAAACAGAGGATCAGAAGACCAAAAAGGTGAAAATTTCAGGGAAAATTAGTCACTGGTGTTAAACATCACTGAGCAGAAGCGAGGATAAGAACACAGAGAGAAGGTGATCGTGGTGGTGCAGTGGCACACACTTGTGATGCCAGCACTCAGAAAGCTAAGGAAGGAGGATCCCTGCAAGTCTGAGGCCAGCCTGGCTACACAGTGAGTTCAAAGCCAACCAGAACCATATAGCAAGACTCCTGTCTTACACACACACACACACACACACACACACACACACACACATTCAGCATGTCATCAGCGTGTTACTGGTGACATGTCAAACAGCAGCACAGTGGAGAGATGTGGGAACTATTCTGTTCATGGTTTTGATCATTGCATACAATAATCTCAATCCTCTATGCAGTTGTTTTTTTTTGTTGTTGTTGTTGTTTGTATTGGGGATCGAACTCATGACCTCGCACTTGCCAGGAAGGTGCTTATGTTGCTGAGCTACATCCCCTCTCTACGTAGTTCTGATTTAATACTTTTTGGTCAAGGATGACCAGTTATATGTATGTTGACCTTGAACATGAAGACTTTTACTTTGTGATGGGTAAGTAAAAGATTAGCTGGACACATTCTGTTCCCATTGTTCAGCCTTCTACCCACCCTCACCTCCTCCAGGCTTAAGGGGATTATGGTATTATTATGCTTCAGAGTTGGTGGTGACTCTCTTGTGTCAGTGCACATTCGACAACAGAAATTTTGTTCAATGAACATGAGTGGAAGGGATTTAAGAAGTAGGTGGGACGAAAGGCTCTCCTATGGAAAATAGTCAATTGCTCCTTGTTTCAAATTGAATAAGACTAGGAGTTGCCCTACAGTGTACAGCCTAGCATAATGGAAGAAGGGCTAGTCGGATAAGAATCAGAAATGCTGAACACTAAGTCTCAACTCGGGCACTTTCATACGTGCGACCTCTCCCCTTCCTAGGTGGCTGGAAGAGTCCAGCTGAGAAAAGTTCTAACCACAGAGCTCTGCGCCTAGTAGAGCAGCAAATGATAGAGGTGGCACGGCCATTACTACTAGCCCTTGGTCTTCCCACAAATTGCTCAATCAGATAAAAAAAAAAAAAAAAAAAAAAAAAACTACAGTTACTCAAGATAGAAAACTAGTGACTCTCAAAATAATTTGGGCAAGAAAAGCTCGCCACTACCTTTCATCTATAAAGATCCTAATCACTTTTTAAACTCACACTTACCCGAGAGGGCAAATCACCAACCAACACTAAAGCAGATCTGGAGAAGGCCCGGGTCATTTCTCTGTGACTCAGATCACTGAACAGCATGCAATATAAAGTGAGTGTTATTACAGGCTTAAAACATTTTTACTCATAGAAATTTGCATTTGTAAGTCAAAGAAACATTGAAGTCCTATCCCAATCGCCAGCAGGATGCTAAAGTCCACTTGGCATGCTTTGTACAAAGAATTAGGGTGAAGTGGGGATGGGAGGTGACAGACACAGTGGGAAGGGAAGCGAGAATGTGGGGAGGGTGAGGTGACCACAGGGCCTAGGGCAGTCTGATAACGCAGCTTACAGTTATGGAATAAGTAAGCAACAAGGGAAAAAAACGCATTTTTTCCCCCAGCCCTTCCGCTAGCATGCTAGCACGAGCTGGGAAATCACATCCGATGTCCAAATAGAAGCGGGTATCACCCTCCTCTCAGGCTCTGGGCAGGCAGAAGACGACCCACAGGAGGAGGCGCCGGCCACTTCCTGCAGCCCGCCTTCCCGACCTCCGCTCCAGCTGGGGAGCAGCGCCTCGGGCCCGGTGGGGGCGGGGCGGGGAAGCGGCTGGCCCGCCCCCAGGAAGGCCCCGCCCCTGCGCGCCCCTCCCCCGGAGGCCCCACCCTCCCGCGGCTGCCCGGTCGCCAGCGCCCGGCCCGCCCTGCCCCGTGGGTGTCGGCTGCCCGGGCCGCGGGGGCGGGGCGCGGAGGCAGAGGCGGGGTCGCCGGCCACGCGTGCGCGCCCAGCTGCTCGGACCCGCTCGCCGGAGCCCCTCTGCGCGTCCTGCCGTGAGTACCGATTCGGCCCGGCCGAAGTCCGCGCCCCCGCTCGGGTCGGGCCTTTTCCGCGGCCCGTCCGGGGATGGAGCGACTCGGGGGAGGCCGAGGGGAAGCGTTCCTGCGAGTGACCTCTCCACCCCGATCGCTATGTCGCGGCGGGGCCTGGAAATGGCTGAGCCTCGCCTCGCCTGGGCTGCGAATGCGGCTCCGGAGTCCTGCCCGGGGCAGCGCGGCCGCGCGGGGAGACCTCGCCCGCGGTGTGCGGGCCTCAGTCGGGAGCCCTTGTTCGGCTGGGTTGGAGGGCGAGAAACAGGCGCTGAGTTTGTGCGGGCTGAGCACAAAGGAATCCCCATGAAGGAGACAGGGGTGAGGTGCAGAGACCCTCTCAAGTGAAGGATCAAGCACAGAGCCCACCCTAATTTATTAAAAACTCTCGCCGAGATGGCTTTCCTGATTTTGCCAGGAAAGCAACTGTACATCATCATTCTCGTGCCACACATCACCCAAGTTCCTAAACTTTTTGTGACCTCCATATGCCCTTTACACTCTTAGAAATGAGTATCCCAAGGGACCTCTGTTTATATGGGTTATCTATTGCTATTTGCCATATAATAAAACAAATTTTTACCATATTTAATCATTCAAAAT